TGACGCACGTGCCGAAGTGCCCTTACTGCTCGACTCGCCAGTGGGCAAAGACGCGGAGGGCCCAGCAAAAGAGATGCCATTGCTTTTGGATTCAGATGCGGGCAATACTTCTGTCTATATCTGGTGCAGTATGGAGTTTCGGGCTCCCTTCCCAAGAAACCCGAGGCGCACTGGATATGGATAAATTTGCCCCCTAGAGGCTCGATTTTTATCCATATCCAGTGCGCCTCGGCCTTGTGGCGCCGCTTCCAAAAAAGTCCAAAAGGCACTGGATATGGACATGAATCTTGTCCGCATCAGAGTTTCAGGAATCGGCCATTTCATGTTACCGAGTTCGTCTAAAGCGTTGGTCGCTTGGGCCGGCACCCAGGGCCTCCCCAAAGAAGCCCAAGCGGCCTCCGCGCGGGATCCAGCACGGAGCCTTACGAACAGGTTAGAGCACGCTGGAGCGGGATGCACCCCTAGCCACACCCCCGATGCCTCCCAGAAAAGTCACGCAGGGGACCCCGGAAGCCCCCGAGAGCGCACAAGGACGCGTTCCGTCAGTTGGGGGCCTGGGCCTCTGATACAAAGCATGTAACAGTGAGGGCTCTAATGGGCTTGAGGCTTCAGGCCTCTTCACCCAGTGCTTACTGCACTGTGGCGGACTACGCTTTGAAGCTCCGAACAGCTACGCATTCAGAGGGGTCTTCACTTTTCGAGACTGGCGTTGGAGTGAAGCTTAAGCATGTCGCCGCAGCTGCGAACATGCATGCTGTTTTCTTCCAAATGTGTAACTCCTCCCTGGACGTTACGGTCCCATGTGCACGTGCAGCTCCACCTGCCAGCAGCGTCCCGGCTGGAGGGCGATTCGTTGTCTAAGCCGGGATCTTGCTGGTGGCCCCCTGACAATTACCGTTGGACCTTCATTGTTACAGCAGCTGCACAGATTGAGCGCGGCTCGTCTTCGCAATCGCATTCCCGCTCGGCGGCGCGCGCAGTTGAAGATGCTACCAACTACACGGACGGAAGGTCATCCCCGTTCAAAACATGGTTTTGGAATTCTACGCCGCGGTCGAGTCTCAATCTTATTCAGTTTGGGCTCAGACAGGGTCCTCACCACGCAGATGCATCGTACTTTCAGGTTTCCAGCAGGTGATCACAGTAGCCCAAGAGACGGGAAGGTGAATTCATGTGTATTCCAGATCCAGTGGTATTGCTGAGTGCTCTCCGTTCCTGCTTCTGTTCGAGTTTCTCGTATGTCCCCTCGATCTCCTGAAGCTTCTCCTTATCCTCCTCCACCTCCTCCTCCTGCACCTCCTTCCCTCTCTCCTCCTCCTCCTCCTCCTCCTCCTCCTCCTCCAGTTCCCCTCTGTCCTCACCTCTGTCGTGTGCTGCGGGCCAAGGGGGTCGCCCCTGTGCCGTGGGCGCAGGGCTGAGGTGCGACAGTGCACGCCTGGCGCACGCATCCTTCTGAAGCACTCGCGACCGCACCAGTGCAATCCAGACGAGGCCTCAGGCTGTAGTCAGTGGCAACCTTAGGGAGGGGAAGGTGGGGACGCATCGACCTCCAATTGCCCATTCATCTCTGATAGGGGCACGACATCCCAGCCGAGGCCGCAGGCTATGGTCAGGGGCATCGTTAAGGGGGGGCAGGGGGGGCCGCATCGACCTGCAATCGCCCAGTCATCTCCGGTAGGGGCCCGATATCCCAGCCGTGGCCTCAGGCTATAGTCAGGGGCAACGTTTGGGGGGGGGGCAGGGGGGGACGCATGGACCTCCAACCGCCCATTCATGTCCGATAGGGGGCCCGACAGTCCACCCCGCCCAGTGGGCCTGTCTCGGAGCTATAGCCGAAGTATCGCCGATTCCAGGTAGCATGTTCTCCCCCTGAGCCGGTCACCCCTTGATGTTCCCCTTCAGACAGCCGGGCATCGCGTCTGCTGCCAGAGTGTGGGAGTTTGCGGGCCAGGACCGACCGTAGACACGCCAATGGCGATGTAGGCAACGGCGATGTAAGTTTCGGTGTTGCGGGAACGCGTGACTCGTGGTTTCCTAGAATTCGGTGCGTCGCTTGCGGTCGATACATTCGCATTCGCATATTGGACATGTAGGCAGGTGTGGCGCGCGATTTCCTACAATTCGGTTCCCAACGTCACCGTTGAGCAACATCGCCGTTAGAGTGGCCCCGGATCGAGGTCCGGTTTGCTTTGAAGCAGCGGGGGAGCCTCCTCGTTTGCGTATAGCCTATGTCCTAAGAACGTTCTGTGGTCTGCGCGACATGTTCTTAAAACATTTTTGGCTCAGTCAGTCCTGTTCAACGCATCGGGCTTCTGTTCTAAGAACATGTGTTGTTGTTGGCCCATCAACGTCCTTGGGTCCCGGAGGGGTCCTGGGGTCTTTGTGGGCGGTCACAAATTCGTGCGCTGGCGCGTTCGCGGGCCGCGCCCGCGCTCGGTAGCGCGGCCCGCCGCCACACGCCGCGCGAGTCGGCAGTGCCGCCGACAGAAGCGGCCGTGGGGCGCGCGCCCGCGCACGGCTAAGCCCTCCTCGCAGCGCCGAGCGTCGCGGTGCGGGGAGGTACGCAGGCGCTGCCAGTGGCGGTGGCGGCGCTGTGGGCCGCGCGAGTGCTGCGCGGAGCCGCTCGCCCGGTTCCCCCGGTCGCGCCGCTCAGAGGGAGGCAAGAGGGCTCGACGTCAACGAGCCAGCGAGGCTCGTGGCAGCGGCAACGGCGCGCCCGGCAGGGGCTGGCGCCGGTCCCAAGCGCGGGCCCCGCGCCGCTGCGGGGGCGTTGCGCGCGACATTGCCTTCCGTGTGCGACAGAGCTGACTGGGTGCGCGCCGCATGGGCGGCCGCTCTTCTGGGCAGCTGCCCGGCAAGCATAGCCAGCGTGCAGTCTGGTCTGCGCTGCTGGTACGCATACGCTGACGCGATTCTGGACCTCCTGCCTGGCCAGGCCTTGCCTCCGACCGCTGAGGGCTTGGTGTCGTGGAGCCTTACTTTCAGGTGCTCGGGCACCTTTGCGAACTACGTAGCGCACGTTCGTTTGGGCTGCTTGCTCGCGGGTGCCGAGGTCACGGCGTTTGGGCACCCAGCCGTCAGACGCGCAAAGGCGGCAGTGGCCAAGCGAGGTCTGCATGTGCCTCGCTCGCCGCAGTTCGTCAGACTGCCGCTCCTGGAGAGGCTGGTTGCGGGGGCACATGAGGGCCCGGCGGGGCGCACGTGGGCGCTGCTATGGCCTCTCTCGTACGCGTTTCTGCTACGCGTGCCCTCGGAGGCCTTGTCTGCGCGCGCGGGCGACAGCGGGCGCCCGCCGTCCTGGCAAGCGGGCGTTTTTCTGCGGGGAGACGAACTTTGTTTGCGGCTGCGGCAGCGCAAGAACAGGAGGCAAGGGAGTCTCCTCACGCGCAAGTGCTGGTGCGCGGGCTCCAAGTCCACCTGTCCGGTCCACGTGTTGGGGCGTCGGCTGGCTGGGTACCAGCAGGGCGAATCATTTTTCCTGGGGATCACACCCGCGCTGGCCCTTGGCACGCTGCGCGGTGCGCTCCACGCGCTGGGCGTGCCCGACGCTGGTTGCTATCGCACGCACGATTTCCGAAGGGGCCATGCCGAGGCGAGTCGCCATGTGCGCGCGGTGCCCGGCCCAGGGCGCGGGCAAGCGGCGAGCGGCTCAAGATATGCGAGCTTCAGGCTGCACCCTCGCGGAGATTCTTCGCGCTGGTGAATGGAGGCGCGGTGCTGCGCCCCTTTCTCGCGCGCGGCGTCCGCGCGGGCGCGCGCCCAGGTCCCCGGCTTTCCTTGCATACTTGGACATGCACGCATTGGAGCGCGACGCCGCTATTTCGGCCTACGTTGCCGAGTCGCCGGGCGACGAAACGTGAGCGCTGCCCGTTCGGCTTCACGCACAGCGCGGCCCGCTGGCGATGGGGGTTCGGGCGCGCCGCGTGTGCGCCGCACGCAGCTCTAGGGTGCCTGCTGGCGATGGGGCTTCTTGCGCCCTGGCGCTCCGTGCGGCATCCAGGCCAGGCGCGCCGCGCGGCGCGGCCTGGCTAGGGGAGACCGCAGAGGGGGCGCCGACACCCATCGACGTGGGTGCAGGCACCCCGTGGCAGGGTGGCGCTTTGCAGCGCCGCACGTAATTTGTGGTTGGCCCATCAACGTTTTTGGGTCCCGGAGGGGTCCTGGGGTCTTTGTGGGCGGTCACAAATTCGTGCGCTGGCGCGTTCGCGGGCCGCGCCCGCGCTCGGTAGCGCGGCCCGCCGCCACACGCCGCGCGAGTCGGCAGTGCCGCCGACAGAAGCGGCCGTGGGGCGCGCGCCCGCGCACGGCTAAGCCCTCCTCGCAGCGCCGAGCGTCGCGGTGCGGCGCTGCGGGGAGGTCGCTGTTTCCTTCCCACCCGCCACCCTTCTTTCGGGGCTTCTTGCACCCTGGCGCTCCGTGCGGCATCCAGGCCAGGCGCGCCGCGCGGCGCGGCCTGGCCAGGGGAGGCCGCAGGGGGGCGCCGACACCCATCGACGTGGGTGCAGGCACCCCGTGGCAGGGTGGCGCTTTGCAGCGCCGCACGTAATTTGTGTTGAAGACACTTCTGGGCTCGGAGAACGTGCCGTGGTTGGGGCTATAGGAATGCCGGGGCGGTCGGTCCCTGCTCAATGCTTGCTATTTTAGGGGGTTGTCTGGGCCTCTGGTGCCCTCCAGCCCGCGGTGGCATCCCAGTTGACCCTGGGATGATGGGCCTGTTTTCCACCACCACCCACCACCACCATAAGTTGGAGGGGAGGAGGAGGAGGAGGAGGAGGAGGAGGAGGAGGAGGAGGAGGAGGAGGAGGAGGAGCAGGAGGAGCAGGAGGAGCAGGAGGAGCAGGAGGAGCAGGAGGAGGAGCAGGAGGAGGATCAGGAGGAGGAGGAGGGCCCCCTCCCCCTCCCACTTATGGTGGTGGTGGTGGTGAAAAACAGGCCCATCAGGGCAGCCCGTCCGGCGGCCGCTCCGCGTGCGCCCTCTCCGCGGCGTGGGCCCTCCCCAGGACAGGCGGCGCTTCGGCCTGGACGAGGGGGATGCCGCTCGGGAGGCGGCCGAGGACCCGAACGACGCCCCCGAGGATGGCACGGTGCACAAAGGGCGGCCCGTCCCTAGTTTCGGATTTGCGACGATATATGTTTTGTTCACTCCCGTTTCATATATATATACAGATATGTATATATATATATATATATATATATATCCATCTATATTTATACATATATGTCTATATGTATGTGTATATATATATGTAACATCTATGTACGCACACATATCGTCACATACACATATATGTAAGGAACGAGTCGCATACACCTATATATATATATATATATACACACAAGACTGCGTGGGCGCTTCGCGCCACGCATCTTGGTCCTTGAAGTTTGGCATGCAGGCGGCAGGGCAGGACGGGAAAGCATACACATTGGCGAGAACTCCTCGTCGTCTTGTCCGACATCGTCCTCAGAGTAATGCCATTCGATATCCTTCCCTAATGTGTCCTCTTCCCCTTCTTCGTTCTGCGGTCCACGAAAGAAGTGGTGACCGCCCCTAGTGGTGATCCCCCTTGGCACTGCCCGATCCTCCTACTCCCTCCTCCTCCTCCTCCTCCTCCTCCTCCTCCTCCTCCTACCCACGTGCCTGGTCGCGAAATTGGGATTCGTACATATTTGGCGGAAATGCTGGACGAGGGCGCCAATGCGGGGTCGTACGTTAATGGCCTCTTCGATGTGTTTGGGTATGTGGGGAGGCGTCTCGAGGTCGTCGCGGAAACTATGTTGCTGGTTTGGGAGATAATTTGAAGCCCCCTTTGGCTGATTTCCGGTCTTATCGGGGACCTCGTGAACCCTGGTTGGGGCGTTTGGGCGCCTGTTGGCAGTTTCCTGGGTCCTTTAGGGCCGGAGGGCTCGCGCCTGGTGGTTGTCTGAAGGTTCATTTTGGAGCCTTCTTCGGGGATCGTGGGGGCTTCTTCGCCCGTCTTGGAGCCTTCTCGGGCCGTCATGGGTTTTCCTGGGGCGATGGTTGGGGCCTTTTTGGCTTTCCTCGGGCGTAGGTAGCACGAAAAAACGATAATACCCTAATAATGCAAACACCTATAGGAAACGCACAGGTTTTGGATTTGGAGGCCCACTTGGGGGTTCCCCTTGGAGCTCTTTGGGGCGTTTGGACATTTCTTGGGCCATCAGGAGGCCATGTTGGACCCTCTTGGGGCTACCGCCGGCTCGTTTGCACGACTTGGCAGGGCCTCCCAGAACCCTGGAGGTTTCATGGAACCCTCGGCAGGGGCGCCCAGGAGCCCCAGAGGCCAGGGATTCCGGAAGGCCTGGCCCGGGGGGGTGGAGGGGCTTCCGCCCCCCCTGGATGATGAAAATACAGAAAAGGGAATCTGTATGTATCAGCATGCATGTCTCTCCTGCCACCCGCCCGCCGCTGGTCCGCCGCGTGAGGCCTCGGCTTGCCGCGTTAGTTGTAGCCCTTTCGCGCCACCTCTGCCTAATTAGTCTCTGCGTAGCCCGCTTTGACCTGACTCGCCGCCGGCGCGCTCGCCCGCGGCCGCTGCTCTGTGGCCCCCACCACAGAGTTCAGGAGGGGAAAAACACACAGACACAATTAATCGTCGACTCCCCAGAAAATCTGGGGAACTATGTGAAGTGGGGGGAAGACACAAACCCAGAAAATATTGGAAAATATGGTGGGGTCCTTTTATTAGTGTGTATTTATTTGTGTGTCCCAGGGCCCCTTCAAGAGTTTCCTTCAGGACTAGTGCCCTTCCCATGGCAGGCCCCGCCTCGGAGGAGGGAGAGGTGAGCCTACCGCCACCCTTTCCCTCGGTTTTAGGCCCTCTCTGGGGCCTCCTGGGAGGCCCTCGTCGCTTCTGCTGGATTCGCTTCCACATCCGGGTGAGAACGCGCCTCGAGAGAGATCCGGGGAGCACTGGTACCGGTACTCGAGGCCTCTTAGATGGGCTCCGAGTGGATGGGGTCGAAAGATCCCGCCGCATCGCCGATGCATCGTCGATGCGGCTCGATTTGGAACCCGACTTACCTCACGCGGACGTCGCCGATGCATCGCCGACGTCGACGACGCATCGGTTGTGCATCGCCGATGCATCGCCGATGCGGCGCGATCCTCCGACCCCATCTGCTCCGACCCCATGTAGGAGGCCTCTGGGTACACACTGTTCATGTCGAATTTTCCGAAAGTTCACTGGTTCTTTGGGGGCAAGATTTGTTCATTTCTAATTTTTCTATCCTGGGCCTCATCCTGGCCATTAAGGGGGCCAAGAACAAGTAGAAACGAGCACAATAAGAAATGAGCACGGTTAGAAATGAACGACGTGTGTCCATATTATGAGCCACAAGCCCCGGATAGTAAAGCATGCCCCCCAGCCAATTTGGATTTGGCCGGGGGAGGGGGGCGGCAAGGCCGAATTTTAGTATCGCCGGGGGGAGTTGCGAATCGAAATTGCTATGTTGTTATGCCGACTAGCAACATCATCGAAAACGTGTGGTGTGGCAGTGGGGGCCTCACCTTATCAGCTGTCGCAACTCACGAACGTGTGGCAACGCTATGGGATTGTCACTTTCGCAGCCTTGTCCCGAGCCAAGAACGTGTGGCAGGGCCATGGTGACCGATTGGATTCTGAAGTTAACATGCGTTTTTCGAGCAAACAGAGCATGGGATATATTTTTTGCGCACCCATCGTACTGCTCGTGGCCCCATAGCGAGCTCCACCGAAAGTCCTAGTGGCGGTGCCCGCATGCGTCCGCGCCGCACGTGGTGCCCGCATGCTCCGCGCCTTTTCCTCCCCGCCCCTGCGCCTTCACCTCCACCTCTCCCCATCCTCCACTTCTTCCCTTTCCCCCCCCCGCAACCGCGTTGGCTCGAGTTCCCCCCGAGCCGCGAAACCTCGGAGCCTTTCCCGACGCCCCGAGCCTCCGCCCAGCCGCCGCCACCGAGCACGGCGCATTCCCAGGCCCGCGCGAAGGCGGCGGCGCTTTCCTGGGTCGCCGAGTCCCCGGGCCCAACCGAGCCAGTTGCCGAGTTGACCGAGCTTTTCGCCGATGTGCTCAAGCAGAACAAGGAACTCCTCGCCAAGCAGGACACGACCAACCAGTACTTCAAGCACCTGTGCGAGAAGGCCACCTGCGCCGAGATGCGCCAGTGCCGGACGAGCGGCGAGGCCACCGACGCTTCAGGGATGACGAGCATGTGCCTCCGAGGCTCGAGCTCTTTGTGGCCGAGAAACGTGGCGAGCGGGGTGCTCGAGACGATCTACCAATCGGGCACCATCGAGTTGATGATTTACGAGGGCATCTTCCACGGGAGGGACATCCGCCGCTCCGAGCTCTTCGCCGCCATCTTCTGGAAGACGCGGCACGAAAAGTCCGACGAAACTTTCGACGCCTTCGAGGAGCACGACCAGAACTGCGACAAACTGTTCATTTTCTTTCCGAGTTTTCGCCAGCAGGTCCACGATGTAGCCGAGAACATTGGCGCGTTTCTCGGCGACGAGGCCGCGAAAAAGCTGAGCAACGGCTCTTGCGAAAGGCGCATCAAGGAGGTGCTCGGCGAGCTCCCGGTCGGCTTCCAGGCCCTCCGCGGGCTCGCGCTCCCAGCGGGCCCGCGCTTCACGCCCTGCGAGGTCTCGTCGAGCGCGCAGGCGAGCGCCAGCCGCGCCGAGGAAACCGCGGGGGGGTTCGAGGTGATCGCGGCTTTGCCCGAGGAGGTCAAGTAGTACTTCTCCTGGGCCGTGGGAAATTTTGCCGCGGCCTGCCCGGGCCAGCGCGCTCGAGACACCGGGGCCGTCGTCGAGCGGCGCCGGCGCGCCGAATCACTGCGCGACGCCGAGCGCGAGTTCCAGGGGGGCGCGCGCCTGGCCGCGCGCGCCAAGTACGACCAGGAGGCCGAGAAGGAGGCCAGCCACTCCGACGAGGCCATCCTCGAGCGCATCATCATCGAGAGTTCGAGAGCGACCATGCGATCGCGACCGAACGCGCCGAGCTGGTCGCTGAGCGCACGGTCGAGCAGACGGGCAAGGCGGACATGGCGGGCAAGGCGAACGCGGGGGGAAAGGCCTAGAGAGCTCGCGTTTCGAGGTCCAGCGCTCGAGCCCGATCGACGGCGCGCAGTTTTCTGTCGGGGGGCGCCCCCCAAAGAGGCGCGCGTTTCACGCGGCGGCTCTTCCTCGCCGAGAAAAAGCATGGAGCGCGCCTTCAACGACGATCGATCCTCGAACCCTGGATCGATGGCCCTCGAATTTGGATCCGAGGATTCCCGACCGCATTGCTCGATCCCAGGATCGAGGATCGAGCCTCGGCGTTGGTCGATCGCCCTCGTCGCAGTCGTCGGGCCCAGGCCGCCATCAATGAGGCTCTATCCTCGATCCTCTGATCGACGATCCTCGACCTTGGATCCGAGCATCTTCGATGTTGGACCCTCGGATCATGGGCCCGAGGTCCGAGGAATGAGGATCGAGGCTCGGCGATCGTCGATCGCCCTCGTGGCCGTCGTCGGGCCCAGGCCGCCGCCGGCGAGGCTCGATCCTCGATCCTCGGGCTGAGGATCCCCAATCTGGGACCCGAGCATCTTCGAGCACATAGGATCCTAGATCCGAGGACCATCGATCTTGGATTCAAGGATCTCGGGCCCTCGATCCGAGGATCGAGGGCCGAGCCTCGGCTGTCGTCAATCGTTCTCGCGGCGCCGTCGGGCCCGGGCCGCCGTCAGCGAGGCTCGATCCTCGATCCTGTGTTCGAGGGCCCTCGAATTTGGATCCGAATATCTTCGAACACCTTGGATCTTAGATCCGAGGATCATCGATCTTGGACTCGGGGATCTTGGGTCCTCGATCCGAGGATCGAGGATCGAGCCTCGGCGATCGTCGATCGTCGTCGTCGCCGTCGTTGGGCCCAGGCCGCGAGGCCAGAGGCTTGTCGAGGCTCGGCGTGGCGCAGTCTATGTGTTGCCATCTACGTGGCGCTGCCCATGCGGTGCAGTCTACGTGGAGCAAATCAGTTGAACAAAAAAGTTGACACATCCCATGCTTGCAGACATCCCACCCACCCACCTGCAGCT